TTTGTCTACAATAATTGAAGTTAAAATATAGTATACTTTTAACCTATTTCCTTATTCAGTATGTTGTATATGAGAAAAATTAATCTGATATATGATGAGTTTGTCAGTCTACATCACAACTTTCTGTAATATAGAGAGGATGTCTAACATATATTGGTGTAAAGAAGTATAATGTGTAAGGAAAATTTTCGTTTGTAGCCTAGGAATATTTAACTTCATAATTTTAAAAGAAGATCTTACACATTTGAGACAAATTTTATTTTTATTTGTAAAACTTGAAGAGGAAAAATCAATTGGTCCAACCCAATCAAAATAATTCTACTATATAAGCTAAGATAACTTTGCTCGTCTTCTAAATAGCAGAAGGTTAGATTATAAGATTGTGGATTGTTGATTGAACCTCCTTTGAGGGAAATGAAAAGTATTGATGAGATGGTAAGGAATAAGAGGCCATAAGATAGCAACGATAATATTATGGTAGTTTGAACATGGAATGAGTGGTGATATATAGTCTAGTGATGATTATCTGATGGAGGTGGTAATCAGATGAGGGTGGATGAGTGCATTAAAACACTATGATCAATTGAATATCCACTATCATTTGAGCATAGTTGTCCATTCTCTTTTTATCTTGTTCGCCTCATCAACACATTTCATTATATATCCCTCATAGAAAGCACAGTTGATAATTCACATTCTTGTAATTTCATCTTCTCTTACTCAAAAGAATGGTGAAGTTTTTATGTCTTCACTTCAAGTTTAAATCAATTTGATTTGAGTAGGTCTTACGATTTTTCTTCTAGCTTCTTACAAATAAATAATCTTTTAATGTCCAATGTGCTCACATAATTTTTTGCTTTTGTGTGATCTTTGTGTAAAAGTGGAAAATCAAATTCTCTTTCTTTGAGATCACAAATTTTAATGCATGATAAAGTTTATTTCCATTTATAAAAATTGACTCTATATTAGAGGGTCAGTTCCATCGTAATCTTGAAAGTTTGTTCACATTAATGTCTTGAACATGATCAGAGTACTTTAATGTTGATGCCATTCACTAGATTATCAATTTTTAAAGAAGCAACTCAAGAGTAGGGAATCCTTCACTAAATTTAAAATTTTTGAAATTTTTGGCCAAGTTGGAAGCAAATCAGACGGTATTTAAGAGTTATCGTCGGATTTGCGTCAGATTCACGTATGATTTTTTTCCGCCAGTAAATTGAGAGTCAGTAATATAACTTTTGTCTGTTTAGCGTCGAAATAATCCGAGTTGGTAGGTTGTTGCGATGGATGAAGAGATCTCTATGTAATCTGTGGTTGTTACGATGTATCTCTATGTAATCTGTTTTAAATTGGTAGGTTGCTGCGATGGATGAAGAGATCTCTGTGATTTTTTTCGTGAGTAAATTGAGGGTCAGCAATATAACTTTTGTCTGAAATAATCCGAGTTGGTAGATTGTTGCGATGGATGAAGAGATCTCTATGTTATTTTACTATTATGGATAAATAATTTCAAAGTTACTATTAGTCTAACTTCGAATGTGACAGTTATATTATGTACACGTGATTGCAAGAGTTGCTTCTACATATTTAAAATTTGAACCATCTCAAAAATTTTTATTCAACCTTCGTGCTTATCAAAAACTCATCTTATATGTTCAAGCTGTCGATAAATAATCTGCTGACATTATTTTCAATAGTTCCTTTACAGAGTTTTTCAAGTGAAAATTTTTGACACTCCAGCTATTTTTCTATAATCTGTGTATGTGTGCTGAATTTTTGTAAAATACTGAGACGTTAAATTATCACTCTACAACCAACAATCTTTAGACATACAACAATAATGTTATCAATGATTGATTAGAAGAGCTAGGGATAAATATTCTATAAAGAATATGTTCGGGAATTTAAAATATAATAATTTATTTTTTAAAGAAACCATTAAAAATATGCCTGGGCCCCAAAATTTTGCTTTTTAGATTTAGACCACCCAAATCTTTCATATCACATAAATAATATAACATTTTTCATGGTGATATGCACGTAAAAATAAAATTTTAGATGTTACTTATTTTAAAACATAGCAATTGAGTGGTATGCATCCACCTAAGTCTTCCTAACATGAAAAGTGCGATGCAGCGTTACCATTTTAGCAAAAAATCAATCAGATATCTTGAGGAGAGATTATTATGACCGTCGCCCGGATGCCGGCTACGTCAAGGCGACGGCCGTGATACAGGCGTCCAGGCGACGACCGTGAAACAGACGTCTGGGCGATGGACGTAATAATTTTTCTATCTTGAGAAGCACAATCTAACCACTTAAAAAATATTTGCAACTTTTTTATCATAATTTAATAAATTTTTTATGTGCATGCGTTTTTCATTTTATTTATTTATCATATAAATAAACTTAAGATTAAATTAAAAAATAAAAATAAATTGAATTATTTATCATACATATCCCCCTCAAATATCTGTCACTACTTGAAACTAAAGCAGAAAGTTTGAATCCCTGCAACCGTCGAGTCTCTCATGCAAGCTCACATTCAAATTTCAAAGTCTAAGTAAGAAAAAAAAAAATATTTTTTTCTGAAATTTGCCGCAGATTCTCCTCACCAACTAAATCTGAGCATGCATTCTCCTAAGTTTAATGTTTTACCTACCAACACCACATCAACACGTTAAAAAATGTTGAATAATTGGCTCGGGCATAAATCACGTGTTGGTGGCCCCGTACTTCCTTTCTCAAACTGATCTTCTCACTCAATTAAATTTACAACAATCAAACGACGCAAACATATGGTGAATCCCTTCATTCCTAGCAGAATCACCAGAATTTATAATGCATTGCTTTATACATGCTTTTTCAAAAATTAAAACACGCTTCTTTCAAAACAAAAAAAATATATGCCTCTTATAATGCATTGCTTGCGATTTTTCCTACTTTGTTATTATAATCACTTTGACTTGGTTTTAGCTTTATTTTTGTGTGTAAATCTCCTTGCCAGCTACTAATATTGTGACCCAAGTTGGAAATCACAACGTATTTGTAACTTTAGAATTGTAAGGGTCAGGATTCTAAGCATCATCGTATGCTTTTGAATTTGTTAAGGATAGATGATGTATATGTACAGTATATATACAATAAAGAAAGTCGTGGGTGGAGTCAATAGACCTTTAGACAATATGGCATGATTATTCTTTTAGAGTTGCACAATATTTACAAATTTCCATGGAGCCTACATGTGCCCATGAGATAGTCTTGTATCTTGAAGGAAAAAAATTAAGATGACACGATCAATGAAATGAAACAAAATGTCTGCATTTACAAGTTGGTCAGGTTAATCATTAGGTCACGAATAATACTTGATGAATACATAAGAAAGTGCTCGTCTGGTCAGTTAGGATGGTGGACATAAAAAATGTGTTAGCAAGAATCTTAAAGAAGTTTAACGACCGACAGAAGAATTCTGGGAACTGCAAGGGGTGATAAAAAAATCTCACGTTTGATCATATTATAAGAATTAAACATATTTGTATTGGTCAGATCAAACACAAATTGAAAGTAAATCCGACGATGTTTAAGAGTTATCATCGAATTTGCGTCTGATTTTTTTCTTACGTTAATCTGGGGGTTGATGATGTTATTTCCATCTAATTTACGTCGAAATATTCAGATGCAAATAATTTGTTTCGGTTGTTACATCGTATTAACATTAGATTTGTTTATACAAAACATGCATCAAAATTTATGTATGAAAATATTAGACGATGAATATTAGTGTCGGCATCAGGTGCGTTGCACTAAAACAACGGACGCCACACTTATCCAACAGTTAACCTGTCAATTATTAAAGATAACACATAAACGACGCTTAATTGATGGAATTACCTGCGTCAAAAAATGGACGGGCGGGACACTTTTCTGACAGTTAACCCAGTTATAAAAAAAGATGCATAACCTACGACTTTGTCTGCTTAAAAAAATCAACGAGTGCGACACTTTCCTAATGTGTATGTGATCACTATTACCAATGAAAGAACCGTCGATTATACAAATCGACGATTGTATACGACTCGGATTTTCACACAAAAAAAAAACAACGATATTAAATCATTAGATAAATGATACATTTTTATCTTCGGAATAGGAATATCAGTCAATTTTGAAATTACTGACAGATATTTTACCTATGAGTTTAAAACTGTCGGTAACATTAAAAGCGAAGATTTTTCATATAATAACTGACAGATTATGGTCTTCAGAAAAAACCTAAATTTCTGTAGTGACTCAAATTCTTCCAATGATTATATATATATATATATTGAGGGGCGTTGACATACATATCATTCAATACCTATGTATTTAAATATCTAAATTTTGAATATATATATATACACATACATATATATGTATCTATCTATACATATATATCTAAGTATGTACAATTATATATGTATATAGATAAGATTTTATTAATGTTTCGCTCGTATTAATGTTTTGCTCGAAAAAACACTAGAATCTAGATTTTATTCTTGTATGAGAAGTAAAAAAGATTTTGTTATTGAAAGATGTTCGTTTATTCCTACTACTCAAATCTGAATTTCTTTTTCTTCTATATTCCCTACGTCCATTCTCCGATCAATCTTGTTTCAATCATTCTTGTTTCCATATTATCGCTAGGTGTTTATGGAATTATTATAGCGGGTCGGTCTAGTAATTAGGGGGCGGCCGTTCGGTCGCCAATGATAGAAGGACCAATGGTTCCAAAATAGGTTTGTGCCGCAGGTGTTGAACGATCTACCCTACACAGGTGTGGGCTTACAGAGCTAGGGCTCATAAACCCTTTCATTCATAAAGAGGCCCCTGGTCGGTAACTTTTCCGGGCCGGCGGGATCGAGAAGTGGAAGTCATAAAAAAGAGAATATCTGTACATACTATATATATACATACATATATATATATATGTATGTATATATATAGTATGTACAGATATTCTCTTTTTTATGACTTCCACTTCTCGATCCCGCCGGCCCGGAAAAGTTACCGACCAGGGGCCTCTTTATGAATGAAAGGGTTTATGAGCCCTAGCCCTGTAAGCCCACACCTGTGTAGAGTAGATCGTTCAACACCTGCGGCACAAACCTATTTTTGACCCATTGGTCCTTCTATCATAGGCGACCGAACGGCCGCCCCCTAATTACTAGACCGACCCGCTATAATAATTCCATAAACACCTAGCGAAGATATGGCAAACAAATAAAGTAGCCCTATGTTCGGATCTGACAATACCATACCATAATCAAAAGGTACAACGGCCCGAGCGACCAGACTTAACATAAATGTAGCCACTGGAGCCATTCTAAAAAGGGAGAAATTAGCACTACTTGGTGAAATAGGTTCTTTTAGAATCAATTTCAAACCATCTGCTATAGGTTGTAACAATCCAAACGATCCTACTACATCAGGACCCTTTCGACGTTGCACAAAAGCCATTACTTTACGTTCAGCTAGCACTAAAAAGGCTACTCCTAGTAAAAGTGGTAGAATGATTCCAAGTATTTCCGCTGGAACAGCAATGTACGTTTTCTATTTTCTATTCACTCATGATCGGGCCTGACCTGGTCGACCCGATCATTTTATTTCACTTATGATCTGGCCTGGTCGACCCAATCATGATATTGAAGGATGGGACCTTTGCTCGAAAAACTCAGGATCCCGAGAAGATTGTGCATGAACGAATCCTGTTACGTTACTTCGAATGGAATTGGAGCCCCCCGCCTTTCATCTTGCCCTTGTGACGCAACACGCCAACAACGCTTCGCGCCTTTTTCAAAGCCTTGGTTCCGTTGCGCCCTGTATTCCGAGGCGACCATTTCGCGCGGTTAGATCCATTTCCCGATCCGATCACGTACCTATATGAGTGGGATGGATGGTCAATCATTTGCAGTCTTTTTCGGCAGGACCTAGACAGGGAGGTTCGGGAAGTAGCGCGTGCCAGCATTCACTGGTGGAAGGACTGGCAGCAGCGAGAGCATCATAGTTGACATGGTCGGAGCTAGAGTCCCCATATTCATCTCTACTCTTTCTGTCATTTACTCCCTCCCGCTCCCGACTCCGCTTCTCCCTCCGATGCCGGTAAATGAATGAATTCCAAGACTCAACCCATGGATTCCATTGGTGAAAAGAAAAAAGAGCTTATGCGAGCTCGGTAGTGCTACTGAAACCACTGGTCTTGCTTGTACATCTCATCTTCTGTTGCCAGAAAAGGAAGACGTGTTGGGTCAGTCCGGCACGTCACGCTTGCTAATACGGCCCGGCTGCCCCTATACATAGTTTGATCAATTGACCGACTCGACTTCACTTTATATATATATATATATATATGTATGTATGTCTATCTATCTATATATATATGTATGTATGTCTATCTATCTATATATATATGTATGTATGTATATGTATCTATATATATATGTATGTATGTATATGTCTATATATATGTATATATGTATCTATGTATCTCTATATATATGTATCTATATATCTCTATATATATGTATATATGTATCTATGTATATGTATATATGTATGTATCTATGTATATGAATGTATGTATGTATACATATATGTATGTATGTATGTATGCATACATATGTATGTATGTATGTATGTATGCATGCATATGTATATATGTATGTATGTATATATACATACATATATGTATGTATGTATATATACATACATACATATATGATATTGGAGCATACATATATGTTTATATTTATACATACACACATACATCTATGTATGATATGTATGTATGTATGTATGTAGGGGTGTAAAAGAGCCGAACATGAGCTGAGCATGTTATTATTTATATTGGTTAGCTCATGTTCGGCTCGTTTATATTTCGAGCTCAAAAAGTGTGTTCGTGTTCGACTCGTTTGCTTAACGAGCCGAACAC